GCGCGGGAGGAGGAGCTCACCGGCATGGAGCACCTCAACACTAAGCTGCTGACACTACTCTACCCCCGGGACCATCGGTACGAGAACACGCTAAAATACTTGCATGGAAATGTAGTGCTATCTCTTTCCTTTTAAAGCAAATGAGGGAGACCACGATATATCCTTAAGATCGAATATCACTATCACCATAATAACTCTTATATCACAAATATTGAACCTAATATTGCATTGTGATATGACAGACGGTATAAATTATGATAGCTCACTAGCGTCCCCTCTCAGTGTCAAAATTTTTATCTATTTTTTTTTATTCTATTTTCTATGTCTAAGAAGGTTTTATATATTTTCTGGCAACTAACAACAACAGAAGTCCCTTTCACCGGATCAAATATCCTCGTTTGTCAACGTTACAGTATGACGGAGGTGTTCCGGCTGCTGCAGTCCTCTATCCCTGCCACCATCAACCTGACGCAGCGGCCCGAGGTGTCCGACCACGACTTCATCGAGGAGCAGGAGAAGTTCCTGTACGCGATCACCACGAGGACCACAGCCTTGCCTGTCGCCAGGTAACTAACGCAATTTTAGTTATGATAGTTCCAATATTAATCGATCCGATATTCGTAACAATAGAGAAACCGCAGATACGTTGCCGTTCTTTAACGCATCCTTTGTTATGAAGGAAAGGTTTATGTGTTTGGAAAAACCGCTGATGAATAAACCACGACTATGCGAGACATATTACGCGAACACCTCATCACTCATCATTGTGGAAGAAAGTTGGTATGACTCCCCATGGTACACGTGTTTCAGAGGTATGGTGACGCTGCGCACGGTGCCCGCGGGTGCTACAGAGCCGGCACGCCCGGCGCGGCTGTGCGTGACGGGACGCGGTCCGCCGCCGCGCTGTCACGCTGTCACGTTGAGCGACACCGCACCCGCTGCCTTACTGTGGCCCTCCTTCCACAATGGTGCCGCCGCCGGACTCGCGCTCGTGCCAGTCGCCGGACGCACCATACATCACAGCTGGATTGTCTACAACAAGCCAAGGGTCAGTTGTACGAACTTGTTGTACAACAGAAATGTACATGTTGTACAAACAGTAACATTGCATGCACTCATATTTTTAATTAAAAGAAATGAGATAGTGGCCTGCATCCAGTTACCACGTAGTAATACTGTAGGAGAATAGAGTTGTGTTCATATCCTGCATCACCTCGGGCTGACCAATACTTGATATTTTTATAATACTAAATCTTATCAGACAACTATCACAAGGATCAAAAAAACGTTTCACGTCAAATTGAAGTTATAAGTATTCTGTATAACCCAAAAAAGGAGTATAATATTAATGAATAATTGATTATAGCGGTACTTGAATGTATTTTAATAATCCATTCCATGCAATTGGTTTGTGGTATGTCCAGGGCACTCAGGATATGTCGGCGGAGCACGCGGGCTTCCTGCTGGCGCTGGGACTGAATGGGCATCTGCGTGATATGCCCTACATGAATATGTTCGACTACTTCGTCAAATGTAACGAGATGATCAGCATCGGCCTGCTGCTCGGCCTCGCAGCCACGTACAGAGGTCAGCACGATAGATGGCGCTGATACTAACAGATTATTTACAACGCCATCTACATTTTAAAAAGCGTTTGCGTTGAATTGTTCAGGTACTATGGACGTGCAAGCTACGAAGATGATGAGCATTCATCTGGAGGCGCTCCTGCCGCCCACTTCAATCGAGCTAGACATCCAGCAGAACATCCTGGTGGCGGCGCTGCTGGGTGTGGGTCTGCTGTACCAGGCCACTGCGCATGCGCACTACGCACAGGTCCTGCTCAATGAGATAGGTGAATTATGTATATTTATTTACTAATTTATTGTATTTAGTAACTATTCTTGTGTACATAATGAAGGGAAAGAGTCACAAAATTTCAAAATATGCAATTTTAATTTTAGAAAATATATCGTTAAAGCAAATTTTTGTGGTTATCTATTGAAGTGTGTTTTAATTTAAAAAAAAAAATTTTTTCTAGGCAAGCCGCCGGGTCCGGAACTGGAGAACTGCGTGGAGCGTGAGGGGTACGCGTTGGCAGCGGGGCTGGCGCTGGGGCTGGTGTGCGTAGGCGCCGGAGACTCCGCCCCACCTCACCTCGCTCCTCGCCTGCGCGCCTACGTGCTCGGCGGAGAGAGGCACGCATACGGTCTGGAATATTAACTTCAAACGCATGCTATACGAACGTAGGCTCGCAGATGGAGAGATTAATTTAATTAATAAGGTTTGTCTACTCAGGTCGCGAGGGGTGCGGCGGGGGCGTGTCCTCCGGTGCAGGGGGCGGGGCCAACGTGGACGTGACATCACCGGGCGCGACGCTGGCGCTGGGGCTGCTGTACCTGCGCGCGGGTCAGTGCGCACCCGCCGCCTGGCTCGCCCCGCCCGCCACGCCCTACCTGCTAGACTTCGTGCGCCCCGACCTGCTCATGCTGCGCGTCATCGCTAGAGGTGCACCCACACACACACACACACACACACACACATACGTATGGTTGCTGTGACAAGGTAGGAAATACCATTGTTATAACATTGCAGGTCTGATCCTGTGGGACAGCATCGAAGCGTCTGAGGAGTGGGTGGAGGAGCAGGTGCCAGCTACCATCCGGCCGTATTGCTTCGTCAAACCAAGCGATGACAACATCGATTACGAGGCCATGAAGTAAACACACGTTATTGTTAATGACCTTGAGCTATTAATAGATTGATAATACTAAAATCACTTCAATGGTTCTCAGCCAAGCGTACTGCAACATAATATCTGGTGCGTGCTTCGCGCTGGGGCTGCGGTTCGCGGGGTCGGGTGACGAGGACGCGCTGGAGGCGGTGCTGTCGAGCGCGCGCAGACTGCTGGGCGC